CCAATTTGCCATGGGAGACCCTACCAGGAACACAAGGTTCCAGACAACACAGCCCCCAGGATCATCAGGGCACACAAACCTCTCTACCACGGTAAGGTGCTGGTTCTTCAGAGAGGTTTTGATATGTATATAATAAAAAAGATGTTCATCCTTGATTCATAGTTTCATTTGTTAAGAGTTTATTGCCATACTTCTTCTTTCCAGAGGAACCTATTTTGCCTCCAGGAAATACATTCTGAAGGTGAACCAGTAAAAAAAACTATCCATGGTGAGAAGCTATTTTGGCAGGCAATCTGAAGCTCTTAGGCCAAGAAAGACTTCCGTCAGCCAACACCCCATATAAAACTTCTGTAGAATCTACTCCACAAGTTGGACCATTTGGTTAAGACACTATAAAGATATAGTATTAACAATGACCCAAGCTTATCCAGCTGAGTCAAGTGCACAATAAGTCAAATTAATGTTACAAAGATAAATGGCAATGGCACTTAAGGAGGTCAGACCTTTGCAAAGGTCCCTGGTAATTTTTGATACCTCATGTATTCTTATATATATACATTTTTGGCAATGAAAATTTGACAAACCGGCAGAAAGATATTTGCATTACCTGTGTGACCGGTTTGTGAACACCCCATAAAGAGTCAGCTCTTAATTATTTCTGGTAAGTCCATTTCGTTTTCAACAAACTTAGCATGTGCTATGCTAATAGTACCTGGCCCTGCCCAGCTCCACTTTCTTATCAAGATATTGTCCCTTCTGTTGCAAAAAAAATCATAATGGCGACGGCAAAGATCAAGACTACAAAACGGTGGTTGATGTCACGGTGACTTGGCCATATCTATGGTTTTGTCTCAGGGACTGAATTTCAGGGAAATCCCCTTTGTCACCCAGATTTGTTTGATGAAAATCTCCCTGCCCTTGAGTTAGTCACGTAACTCAAAGTGCTCACTCTCTGGGTCACAGGGGTGAGAGTATCAGCTTAATGAGACGTGAAGCCCTTGCGGTTTCAGCGTTGCTACCGATGCTTCTCTGTGAGTTCTGTGAAATCCCTCAGAGAAATGTTCAAAGTAATTATACACTGTCTGCGCTGTCTAATATTGCGACTGACTGCTCTAAATTCCTGAAAGATTCATAAACATGCACGCTGGCCCACAGCAATTTTGGTACTGTGTTACACGGTATTATTCAATCTGCTGTATGTTGAACACTTCTGACCGAAACAATTCTGTTCTTGAATAATCACTGTGGTAGGGGTCCACTGAGCTGTCTGGCGCCATCGTCCTCCTAAACATGTCATTACTGTAACCACAAGGTCAGCATGGCACAGCCCAGCACACACTTCCTCTCAAATACATATCAGAGCTTAACTATTTTAATGTATAAACAATATGTCAGCAAAAGCTTATGAAACACACCACAAATCAGCCACAACACATAGCATGTCCATAAATTGTAGTCTATCAATCAACACAATAAGAATTATTATAATGTCTTGGAGTAACCAATAATTCTCGGGCTACATGTTTAGGCATTAACTAATAAAGGTAAGGAAATCTAAATACCAGCATCTCTCAATCTCACTATGCAACACAGAATAGTGTTTAATCCATGCAAAATAAAAATGTAAAAACCACAATCTAACAAGAGAGCAATATTGATTTTCTATTGTTATTCTTGGCAAAAAGTGAATAATCTATTTCCCAGAAACAGACACAGGTAGTTTGACACGGGAGAGGAATTTGTGTTGAAGCTAGACTGGGAAAGCTTCACAACCGATAAACATCACTCCGAGGTCAACGTGTTTAATTTATGAAACATCAATTGTCTATGAATGGCAGAACATTTTGTTGAAAAGATCAATTAGAAAAACATATTGCAAATCCTTCTAATAATTGAGAGCCTGAAAACAATCAATCATGTTCTATATGAAGAAGTACTTGAAACAGTTATATAAAATATAATCGGAGGATGAAACCCTCTTTAATCATCACATGCGCACAGCACAAACAGATGTGATCTCCGGGGAGCAATGAGGAGTGTGGGGGGGTGTCCGGTGCCCTGCTCAAGGGCACCATGGCAGGGCCCAGGAGGTGAACTGTGACCTATAGCAGTTCACATTCCATTTTTAGGTCTGTTCGGGGACTTGATCCAGTGATACGTCTCCCAAAAAAGTTATAGACTGAACAACAAATCTAGATTTGCATCGGTAAAGTTTCTCTAATTAGGGTTGCTGGTTCAAACTGAAAGGGTCAGGAAAAGCTAAAGAAGATCATAGATCCAAGCATTGGAAGAGAGAGGGACACAGTTAACTGCTCCTTGGTCTCCAATACCCTGGAGTCTCACTTAGCCTTATTTCTCCTCTCTACTCCCCTCATCCCGTCGACTCCTGCCCCCCCTGCCACCCCTCCTCCCCATACTCCCACCACTCGCTCGAACAGATTGGAGGAAATGAATGTCTCCAAATTGGCCACAGTGGCGAGTTAAGCGAGACTCTAAGACCACATTGGCTCTGCTTTTAAACCAGCTATCGTGCGGTATCTAGCCCAGATCCTCTGTCTCTGTCTCCTGTATTAAATTAGCATCAGAAAGCAGCCTGTTTGAACCAATAGCCGGTTATGGTCTTTGTGTTTATATTGGACCATGTAAGAGTGCCAATTAGTGGTTAATATAATAAGAGTACCACGTGAAAGGCTGCAATGTGAACTTTTGTATGTCTTCAGCCCCCTCAGTCTGTGTGTGAGTCAGACTGTGCCTTCTTATGTGAATTAGGTTTATTAAGATTCCAACATAAGTGTTTTAACCCCAGGGTTTGATGATTTTGAAAATGGTAATCACAACTACTTATCTGCACACAGTAGGTTACAATGTGGTTTTATCTTAATGCTGGAAACATTTGCATTATGTTTATGACCCTACATGAGGGCTCTGTTCATTGCAGCAACTTATTTCAATTCAGGTTTGCATTTAAAGATGCAGTGAAGTCACTTTATGTAAGTAACTGCTTTATGTGTATCTTTTACCAAAGTACTATCAATACAGATGATTTACCTGGCCAGGGAGCCTTCCATTTTAAGAACAAAATTGAGAGAAGCTACGGTTTCTTCATAATCTTTTCTATTAGTTTATTCATGTTTAAATGTGCAACAAACACTCCAATGTGTCTGAGCCTTAAGTGAAGTTACTGTTTTTCAAGATATGTTAAAGCGTCCACATGTTTTTGGCTAGTCTTGTCATATTGTACATTTGATCTTTCTGTTCTTCCAGTTTGGCTAAACTACTTGAAAAATACATATAATAATCTCAAGAAACTGCTCTGGTGAATAAATAAATAAATAATTAAATACATTAAAATCATGGTTAACTATATAAACTCATTAACTCTCATCTCAAAATTCTGTATTGGCTACAAAATATTTTAAACCTTTGATTAAATATGTCTTTCTGCAATGGCCCTTGGGACTTGTAGTCATCTGCTAATGTTGAACCTTAATACAATTGTGTACATTTTTCTAATGGACTTGAATTGTTTTTTAATTGAGTGGAACTTTTTTGAACTGATAACTTAAACAGACCAGTCTGGCATGTAGAAGTGAAAAAAGAAAATACATTACAATAGCCCT